CCATTGAGTGCAGGGAGGCCACAGCCTGGGTCAGGGAGATAGCTCTGAGGTGAGCGAGGTGTGATGGTGCCGAGGCAGAGAGGCCCCACAAGGTGCTGCAAAGAACAGAATCAGGGCAGCATGTGAGAATCAGAGGCCCAGATTAGGGCCTTTCCATAGAAGCCCATTAGAAATAATAAATAATTGCCTGCCTGTAGCATCCATTGAGTGCAGGGAGGCCACAGCCTGGGTCAGGGAGATAGCTCTGAGGTGAGCGAGGTGTGATGGTGCCGAGGCAGAGAGGCCCCACAAGGTGCTGCAAAGAACAGAATCAGGGCAGCATGTGAGAATCAGAGGCCCAGATTAGGGCCTTTCCATAGAAGCCCATTAGAAATAATAAATAATTGCCTGCCTGTAGCATGTGGACAGGCTGTGGCTCTGAGTCAGGACATGACTTGGCCAAGGTCAGCATGGGAACCGCTGGCGGAGCTGGGCCTTTCTCCTCCCACTCCATGGTCTCTGCTGGCACTTTGTGTCTCATTCAGTGACTTGGATCAAACCCTCAGCTGGTGTAATTGGGGCAGCCCCACTGACAACAGGGGAGATCCCCTCACTGATGAATCCAGTGGACAGAGATTGTCAGCCCTCGGTGCTGCTGCATGGGTCGTACAAGGAGAGTCAGAGAGAGATGAAGTGATGCTCTGATAGTTAGCAACTAGTGGGTTATGTCCTGGTTCAAGACACCTTCCTTCTGTCTCCCCATAGTGAAAGGTTTCACCACCGGAGAGTTGTGAGCGATAGTCTGAGAGGCCCCTGTCACCGTGTCCATGTGTCACTGCGTCTCAGTGGGACACAGCTGAGGATGCCAAATTCAGAGTAAACTGGTGAGAACTGGGGCAACTGTCCCCAGGCACTCCTGCCGCACTGGTTGACTAGCAGCCCAAAGTGCAGTTTTCTGAGTCCTCCCAGGCCTGGATTCACCATCCGGACTCTGGACACCATGTCAAGCTGCGAGTGAAAGTCAATTGCACCAAACACGGGGACCTCCTTGTCCCAAGAGAACAGCCACTCAGCCAGGTTAATCCCCAGCTCAGCCCTTCCAACAATCACGCTGCCGCCAATCCCTGGCCCAGAGCAATGACAACAAGCTGGGAGTGTCTCTGGGGCCTTCTGTCTCCTCTGCCCTGGGCATGGAGCGTTACTCTCCCAAGCCAAGCCCACAGCCTCTGCCCATGGAACGTTCCTGGCCCAGGCTGGTGCCCAGGTCCCATGAGCACAACCCATGTCCTGCAGAGTCACGTGTCTTCCCTGGCCTCATTGTGTGTCCTTGAAGAGCCATGAACACCGTGCTGCCTGGCCTCAGTGTAAATTCTGTCTGAGGGGTGTTGCCTAGGAATGCAACTAGAGAAGACACCAGTATGTCACCCGTAATCAGAACTTCAGACACAACGATGACAGATGCATGATACTTAGTAAATTGTAACATTCCCGTTGACACTGGACAGGACATGCCTTGTACACGGTTTCCTGCAATTGTACAATAGTGTAGCAAGAATGATAAAAATGGTCATAGCCAATCATGCAGTATCAAGGTGTGAAACGAGGTTTACAGGATTGGTCGGCAAAGGCTTTCCTTGTTGACCGATCTGCGTCTTGATTGCCATGTTGTGCCGACGATCAGCTGGGCTAGCACAGCGCAGCGGCCATTTTTATTTTAATGAAGTGGGGAATATTTAAACCCCCGCTTCATTGACTATGTTGGACAGCCTCATTTACATGTCTCTGCCGACAGAGGCATGTAGTCTAGACATACCGGCTGTGTCTACACTGGGCCACTTATTCAGGAAAAGCAGCCGCTATTCCGGAATAACTTGGCAGCTATCTACACTGGCCACTTGCTTTTCCGGAAAAGCACTGACGATCTATTGTAAAATTGTCAGTGTTTTTCTGAAAAAACTATTCTGCTCCCGTTTGGGCAAAAGTCCTTTTCCGGGAAAACTGTTCCGGAAAAGAGCCAGTGTAGACAGCACAGTAGTCTTTTCCGCAAAAAAGCCCCAATCACGAAAATGACGATTGGGGCTTTTTTTGAAAAAGCGCGTCTACATTGGCCATGGATGCTTTTCCAGAAAAAGTGCTTTTCCAGAAAAGCATCCTGCCAATGTAGACGCGCTTTTTCCGGAAATACTTATAACAGAAAACTGTTCCGTTTTAAGCATTTCCGGAAAAGGGTGCCTCTGCCTGAGGGGTCAGCTACCATAGACCACAGCTTTCTTTTTTCAAGCTCTTTTGGACAAAACAGCTTGGGGTACCCCTGGGGGTGGGTTCAAGTGTTCACCCCTGCTTTTTAGGCATCAAAAAAGCACTTGATGGTGGCAGCAATTCTGTGATTGTGATTCTGGGAAGAAGTTTTTTTGTAACCAGTGTCTGTAGAAGCAAAGTGTGTTTGTTTTTTCCTTTTGAGCTTTGTGGGCCCCCATCTCCTGCTCTTGGAGTGTCTGAATTCTTTGGAGGCGTGGCTGTCCTGCCTGGGTTTCAATCATTCTGTGTCTCTCCACTCCTGGTTTAACTTTCGCATACAAAGAAACAAGGCAAGGAATCTTACCCAGTTCAAATGTCATCCCTCTGTCTCGATTGGTTCTCCCGGCCCCCTGACCAACACCTTTGCTGTCAGTTAGCAAAGACAAATGACTTCCAGATAAACAGATGCTAAAATAGTGATTGATTAAGGACTAGCACAGCAGAATGTATAGACCTGAATGGGAGAAAAGTCCTATAAATGGGGCGTTTTGCATGAATCTCTGTGTCGCATCTTGTCAAGATTGGAGCTTCAGTTCAATTCAAGAGAAGCTCCTCCCTGTCGCGTTAAACTCACCTGGCCACTGAGTAAAAGTGAGCAACAAACTAGTAATTTTAAGCAAAAGCAAGACGGGGCTGGTTGGTTTGCATATCAGGTTCAACCCTTTTTCCAATTCATTCAATAGTGGCATTTAATACAAGCAATGTATGTGTAACTCTGGGTTGGTCTTTGGAGAAAATACAGTAACAGAGTTCAACCCCCCTTGCCCAAAGCAGGACCAACCCCGACACAATCATCCCAGCCAGGGCTTTGTCCAGCCAGGACTTAGACACCTCTAGGGATGCAGATCCCACCACTTGAGAATATTGCTCCTCGTTCTGCCATGCGTCACTACTGAGAACAGCCTCTCTCCATCTTCTTTGGAACCTCCCTTCAGGGAGTTGCAGGCTGCTCTCAAATCCCCCCTCACTCTTCGCTTCTGCAGACTAAACAGACCCAAATCCCTCAGCCTCTCCTCGCAGGTCATGTGCTCCAGCCTCCTAATCATTTTGGTTGCCCTCCACTGGACCCTCTCCAATGCATCCACAACCTTTCTATAGTGGGGACCCCAGAATTGGACACAATACTCCAGATGTGGCCTCACCAGAGCCGAATAAAGGAGAATAGTCACTTCTCTGGATCTGCTGTCAATGCTCCTCCTAATGCACCCTAATATGCTATTACCCTTCTTGGCTACAAGGGCTCCCTGTTGACTCATATCCTCTTTGTCATCATGGAGACCTACTTCTGGATGTGGCTGAGTCGTAAACAGGACACCCTCCCCACAACGAAATCATCCAGGGAGTCAAACCCTCTCGCTGAGGATGGGCCCAGAGCAGGGACTTCCATGGGAGAGACACGCCCACCCCCTTGGTAGAATTTGGCTCCAGTTGGCCTGGCATGGAAGGAACGGGAGCCCTGCCAATTTATCAATAGGCCTCAGGCTAATTTCTCTGGCCTAAACCACAAACAAGTTCAAGTTAAAAGCATCCAAAGTTTTTTTTTCCCAGCCAGCTCCCTTCCCAGGGGTCCTCCTCTGCGTATGATCCCAATTAACGCTAACGAGATAAACAGTAATCACAGCACCAGGCCACAGCAGGGTTGATTAGCACTGGCCAGGGAGGACCAAGGCTGGGCCCAGACATAAACATCTGGGCTATGTCTAGACTGGCATGATTTTCCGCAAATGCTTTTAACGGAAAAGTTTTCCGTTAAAAGCATTTGCAGAAAAGAGCATCTAGATTGGCACGGACACTGTTCTGCAAAAGCACTTTTTGCGGAAAAACGTCCATGCCAATCTAGACGCGCTTTTCCGCAAAAAAGCCCTGATCACCATTTTCACAATCGGGGCTTTTTTGCGCAAAACAAATCTGAGCTGTCTACACCGGCCCTTTTGCGAGAAAGTTTTGCGCAAAAGGGACTTTTGCCCGAAAGGGAGCAGCATAGTATTTCCGCAAGAAGCACTGATTTTGTACATTACAAAGTCAGTGTTCTTGCGGAAATTGAAGTGGCGAGTGTAGACAGCTGGCATGTTTTTCCGCAAAAGCGCCTGCCAGTCTAGACGCAGCCATGTGGTCAATTAGCAGGTCGTTACAGAAGTTGCCAGTTCCTCTGGGGGATTTAGCATGAATTTCTACTTAACAAAACCAACATGTTCAGAGCTCAGGGCTCCCCTGAAGGTTGGGCTGCCCCATGACAGCCGACAGCGAGGGAGGCCTGAAGGAATGACTTCTCCAGCGTGGGGTGTTCATAGGATCTTAGATGACTGTAGCTGGAACAGCTCTCAGGAGGTCCTCAAGGCCAACCCCCTGTTCCAAGGAGGAGCAACATCAACTAACTCACCCCAGCCAGCTGGGCCCTGAAAGTTTCTAAGTGTTTGGCTCAGGTGCCGGGGCCTGCTGTTCCAGACTGCAGCAGAGGCTGGCTCCCTTGTCCCCGTGTGTTGCTGCTTCTGACCCTTCTGCAGCCTGCCTGTGTCAGTCAGTACTGCAGTTACCCACAGTCCCTCCTGCGTCCCTGTCTCTGAAATCAGGCCTGTGTGGCTCTGGAATGTCTCATAAACCCTTGCACCAGCTAAACCTTTGTGTCCCAACTAGTGCAAAGGAGTCTGGGGTCTAGCCAAGGCCTCTCGGCCCCCAACTTTGCTCGTCTCAAACTGGGGCTGGAGGGTGGCTGGTAAAGCCTGGCTCTGGCCCGGCGTGTCTGAGGGAGTCCCACAGCAGCCACTGGAACATGCATCTGGTTGGCACAGGTGTAGCCCCCCGAGACGTAACACGGCAGGAAGTGATGTCACTGCATCCACCGGGATGGGCAGCAGAGAAGCCCCATCCCCTGCTAGCAATTCTCCCACAACAGCCAATCAGCACAGGGGAGGCAGGGCTGAGCCTGCTTCCCCTTCCCCAGCTCTGCCTCTGTAGTGCCCCCTGCTGTTCCTGCTTGGAGCTACATGCTGCACAGTCGGTGCCCCTCCCTCTGGGCTGGCAACGCCCCCTGCTGCTCCAGATTTGGCTTTTAGCATCATGCTCCCTAGCACTTAGGGACATCTGTTGCTAACTACCCACCCTTGCGACATTTGCATCTCGCTGCTGCTCTCTGCTGTCCTCAGTCAGGCGTTCCCGATGGGTTCCTGGCAGCTCTCCTGCTCCAGCCCTGATACACGTCTGGCTCCATACTTAGCTCTCCGATCTCCCTGCTAACCTGGTTCACGGGGTTCACAGAGAGACTCCGGGAGAGCCCCCCGAGACCACAGAACCACATGAGGATTGAAAGCACCAGACCAGATGTGTCGACCATCGAGGTCAGTAACAGTTCTCAGCAAACAGACTTGCCACTGAGCCACTACACGTATGTAGCCATGCCAATGGACTAGCTCAGTCACTGCTATGGACGTCCGCGCTCCCCCTCGGCCAGACAAAGACAGTTCTTTGCAGCACACTTTAATACACAGGTACAAACTCGCCACACAGCATTCCTGACCATGCTCTGATGTTCCCTAGATCTACCCACTCCATGTAGGTACAGTCTTGTCCATGGGGGTACAATCACTGTCGAACATGGTGTCCAGTTAGCCCCACACCTGAACCTGGGTCTTTATGTTCCTGTTGGCTCTGCCTGGGGCGTTGGGACCAAGGTGGGTCTTCACCAGGTGTTCTGTTCTGAGCCCCCTGCAATGTGCTCACAGCCTGGGCCTAGAGCCTCCCCGGCCTGACTGTTTCTGCAACATCTGTCCCATTTCTGCCAACTTCTGTGGGCAGGGCCTGCCTCTTCCACATAGCTTAACGCTGCTTTATTTGAGCAAAGTCTCAGCCATTGTGGTCTCAGGCCTCACACATGGCCTGTGATACGTATTCATTTTAGGCCTCATCTTACTCCACCTGCCACACCCTTCTGAGGCTGCTTGTCTAACCCCTTCTGCCCATTAGTTCTGGGCAGTGTACATGGCCCAGTCGGAGTGGGAACAGTGTGTACAGTGCCTGGTGCTGCGTGTCCAGAGCCATTGGCATGTGGTCTTCATAGCTCAGCTCCAGCTGACAGCTGTGGAAATGAGCCACCCAAAGCTCTCTGGCCTCAGGACTCTGTAGCTGAGCTGTGGGGCCCACAAGTTCTAGGATGCTCAATCTCTCCTGCCTGCTTCACCACGCTGCTCCCAACCCCATGGCTCCCCTCAGTGCTGCTGATTGTCTGGTTGGCCCCATGCTGTGTCCTCTCTGCACTCCATGGAGGCTCCTTAGCAGGCTTCAGCAGCTCCTGTCCCAGCATCAGAGCAGAGGGATCCCAGCTGGTGGTGGAGGGAGGAGGAGATAAACCAGAGAGTCATGGGGCATGTGTGTCTTGATGCAGGAAGTTCTGGGGGGAGAAACAGACCAGGGGTGGGTCTTTGGGAAGAGCTGGAGAATGGGGAAAAGCCTTGAGAGAAGAGGCGGGCAGGGGTCCAGTTACCAGCAATAAGAAAAGTCACAGTGCTGGGAGTCAGTGAGTGGTTTGTCCAAGTGACACATCACAGGGAAGGTTTAATGTCCCTTAGCCTGTCCTGTAGGTGACTCAGGGAAGAGGCCCAGCACTGCGTCACCAGCCAGTCCTGCACAGAGCTCAGGGGGAAAGCCAGAGCACCAGGAGAAAACACTTAGTTCTTCCTAGGAGTAAAGTGCCGAACCAAACTGTCTCGTATCTGTTTGGTCCTCACCCCATAGATGATGGGGTTGAGCATGGGGGGCACCAGGAGGTAGACGTTGGCCATGAGAATGTGGACCTGCAGGGGCACATTGTGGCCAAAGCGCTGTGTGAGGAAGGAGAAGAGACCTGGAATGTGAAAGGATAAAATGACACAGAGGTGGGAGCTACAGGTCCCAAAAGTCTTGAGCCGGGCGTCCTTGGTGGGGAGCTTAAAGATGGCCCTGAGGATCTGGGTGTAGGACACAGCAATAAGAAAAAGATCCACACCAGTCACAAAGAATAACACAAAGAGGCCGTAGTAACTACTGATGCGAATGTCGGCACAGGCCAGCTTCACCACGGTGATGTGCTCGCAGTGCGTGGAGGGGATGATGTTGGTTCTGCAATATGGCCACTGCCTGGCCAGGAGGGGATAGGGAAGTATGAGCATGACGCCACGGAGCACCACAGCCAGGCCAATCTTGGCTATAATGGAATTTGTCAGCAAGGAAGAATGTCTCAGGGGATCACAGATGGCCACATAGCGATCGAAAGCCATGGCCACACATATGCCCGACTCTATCACTGACAGAGAGTGAACGAAGTACAGCTGGGCGAGACAGGCACTGAAACCGATCTCCCTGGAATTGAACCAAAAGATGCTCAGCGTTTTTGGCAGAATGGATGTGGCCAGGACCAGGTCGGTGACGGCCAGTATGCAGAGGAAATAGTACATGGGCTCATGGAGGCTCTGCTCTGTCTTCACAATGAAGAGGATGGTGAAGTTCCCCAAGAGGGCGATGGCGTATACAGTGCAGTAGGGGATGGAGATCCAGACATGGGCCACCTCCAGGCCAGGAATCCCCAGGAGAATGAAAGTGGAGGGGTTAGAGAAATCAGTTTTGTTTGGATATGACATGGAGCAGAGAAGAAGGTGTCTAACTCTGAAGGTCATTAAGAGACACCACATGAGCTACCGGCGGCTGTTCCGATGGTTGAGACTGATGATTGTTCTTTACACACCTTGAAAAATGACAGTTTTGTTATACAGAGAAATAAATGATAAACAACCGACCCTCCTCCTGCCAGTCCCAATCTGAGGGGGCCCATGGGTTATTGTTCCCAACATCTTCCATGTGAGAAAGCTCAACAGGCACCAGCAGGAAAGAGGAATGTGGATCCTTCCTGGCCTTTACTGTCCCATCATGCGCTGAAAGCCAAACTGGACTGTTGGCGCTGTCAGGAATTCCCCGTTCGTCCAGCTGCTCCACAGCCAAGAGCAGAACAAACCCAAATCTTCACAAAGGCCTTTGCTAGGGGGACACCCCATGGGAACAGCCCTCAGGGAAAGACCTGGGTATCAGAGCTGGTAGGTCATGTAGAGACCAGGTCAGTCGCAGCAGTCGGCAGACATAGAGTTCGGCTGCCTAGGAAATGGGTTGGAGAACAACCTGATGTGGAGAAGTGGGCAGTTTGGTCACCAAAGACATTACCAATGTAAAGGGGAGCTCCACACTAGGTTCTGAGAACGTGAGGGGCTGACGTAGGAATGAGGCTGTAACGTTTGGAGCTGTTTGGTTAGGAGAAGAGACACACAAAGGTCACTCTGGAGAAGGGTAGAATTGATGACTTTCCAATAGGTCCCCAGAACAATGTCGAATGTCGGTTCATAATTAGTGTTTCAAAGCAGATAATCCCATCAAGCTGAGCACAATTGTCACCAAACGTAATTGACAGGAAATATTTAGCTATTAAATGGGAAGAAACATTGGCGTCTATTTTAAAAGATTTTATTTAACAGCTAAAAAGCCACAGTCCAAGAAAGAAGAAAGTAGACAGCTTGGTACTAAGCCCCATCGTGTGGTAAAGTGAGGGTAGCAATGAGGGTGAAGGAATGTAATTGAGGATGTGAAGAACAAAGGAAATGATGGGAAAGGATTAAGCTGGTTACTAGAGGGAAAGCCGAAAGTTGTGAATGTTAAAAATGTAAATAAGAACATAAGAGCGGCCAGACTGGGTCAGACCAATGGCCCATCTAGCCCCGTGTCCTGTCTGTCCACAGTGACCAATGCCAGTTGTCCCAGAGGGAGGGGACACAACAGGTAATCCTCACGTAATCCCTCCCCTGTCACCCACCTCCAGACAAACAGAGGCTAGGGACACCATTCCTACCTAGCCTGGCTAATAGCCATTGATGGACCTAACCTCCATGAATCTATCTAGCTCTTTTTTGAACCCTGTTAAAGTCCTAGCCTTCTCCACATCCTCTGGCAAGGAGTTCCCCAGGTTGACTGTGCGCTGAGTGAATAAAAACTTCCTTTTGTTTGTTTTAAACCTGCTGCCTATTCATTTCATTTGGTGACTCCTAGTTCTTATGTTATGGGAATAAGTAAATTACATTTCCTTATTCATTTTTTCTACACCGGTCAGGATTTTAGAGACCTCTATCATATCCCCCTTTAATCCCCTCTTTTCTACGATGAAACGTCCCAGTCTTTTAATCTGTCTTCATATGGGACCTATTGCAAACCCCTCATCATTTTTATTGTCCTTTTCTGAACCTTTTTCAATGCCAACATATCTTTTTTGAGATGAGGTGACCACATCTTTACACAGTATTCAAGAAGCGGACGTACCATGGATTTATATAGAGTCAATAAGATATTTTCTGTCTTATTCTCTATCCCTTTTGAAATGACTCCTAACATTCTGTTTGCTTTTTTGACTGCCACTGCATAGTGAGTGGATGTTTTCAGAGAACTATCCGCAATGACTTCAAGATTTCTCTCTTGAGTACTTGTAGCCAAATTAGTCCCCATCATGTTGTACGTATAGTTGGGATTATTTTTTCCAACGTGCATTACTTTACATTTATCAACATTACATTTCATTTGCCATTTTGTTGCCGAATCACTTGGGGTACGTCTAGACTACAGGCTTTTGTCAACAGAGGGTTTGTCGACAGATACTGTTGACAAAGCTTCTGTTGACAAAGAGCGTCTAGACTATATCCAGTTCTGTAGACAAAGCAAGCCGCTTTGTCGACATGACAGTGTAGACGCAAAGAACAGTGTAGATGCAATAACTCCTTCTGTCGACAGAACTCTATCAACAAAAGGCGTGATTCCTCGTAGAATGAGGTTTACATATGTCGACAAAACTGCTGAGTTATGTCAACGTTATGTCAACAGAATTCAGTGGCAGTGTAGATGCAGGTATAGTTTTGTTGACAAAAGTCCACTTTTGTTGACAAAACCCTGTAGTCTAGACACACCCTTAGTTTGGTGAGATCTTTTTGAAGCTCTTCACAGTCTGCTTTGGTCTTAACTATCTTGAGCAGTTTGGGATCATCTGAAAATGTTGCCACCGCACTATTTACCCCTTCTTCTAGATCCTTTATAATTAAGTTGAATAGAATGTGTCCCAGGATGTACTCTTGGGGGACCCTACTAGTTACCTCTCTCCACACAGAAAACTGACCATTTATTCCTACCCTTTGTTTCCTGTCTTTTAACCAATTATCAGTCCAAGAAAGGACCTTCCCTCTTATCCCATGACAACTTACGAGCCTCTGGTGAGGGATCTTGTTAAAGGCTTCCTGGAAATCTAAGTACACCATATCAACTGGATCCCCCTTGTCTACCTGTTTGTCGACCCCCTCAAAAAACTCTTGAGCTACGTCTAGACTGGCATGATTTTGCAGAAATACTTTTAACAGAAAAGTTTTTCCGTTAAAAGTATTTCAGCAAAAGAGCGTCTAGATTGGCACGGATGCTTTTTCATTCCATGAGGAGTAACGGTAGTTCAAACTAGGAAGCCTAGTTCATGCCCCATGTAGCCGCGCTGCACTGGGTTCAAACCAGCGGGGTTTTAAAAATGGCGGCTCCTGCTTATGCAAATGAAGCCCGGGAAATTCAAATCCCGGGCTTCATTTGCAAGTGCGGTATGCCTACATTACCCCGCTAGTTCGAACTAGCGGGGTAGTGTAGACATACCCTATAATCCTCGTTCCACAAAGATTAAGAGATTTGTCAGAATAGTGCCTTATTTTGAAATTTGGCACTTTCTTTACAGCACCAAATTTCAAAATAAGCTATTTCGACCTAGACTCGGAATAAGCTACACAGTTTGTGTAGTGCAAATTGAGTAGCTTATTCTGACAGCAGGGTGCTGTCTACATGCACTCCGAGTGCCCATCTATAAATAAGAATAACCTAAGAACCGACAGACAGTCAGTTTAACTACTGTGCCAGGGAAGATAATGGAACAGGTAATTAAGGAATTCATCTGCAAACATCAGGAAGATAATAAGGTGATAGATAACACCCCGCATGGATTTGTAAAGAACAAATCACGTAACTAACCGGATCGCTTTCTTTGTTCGGATAATGAGTCTTGTGGATCAAGGGGGTGGTGTTAGAAGTAGCAGATAAAAGTCAATTAACCACCCGTTTGTTAACAGCAAGGACAATAAAATGCAAGAGGAAGGACTGGCACTGTCCGTGCGTTAACACACGGCCAGCTCCTGAGCTCTTTCCTCAGTTCTTACTGCAGGGGAAGTTTTGCCTCTTCAGGGCCCGAGCAAACTATGGGCCATGGGCTCAGAACGTGGCCTGGGATTGCACATCTACTCGCACCGCTCAGCCTGAAGGATAAGGACCTTAGGTGTTCAGTGGCTTTGCAGAGCAGAGAGAATCACAGACTGTTCCTACCACACCATCCCCACAGTGCCCTGGGGCTCTGGAGCAGGAGAGCCCCCAGCCAGAGCTGGTACCTGTGAGAGCTGAGAGGGACGTGTCTTCCCCGGGATCCCCCGTCAGGCAGCCGCATCCTGCACCTCTCTCAGCCCAGCGTCTGCAGCAGCGTCCCGCGCCGAGAGCCGGCACAGGGCCGTGCACTGGTTATAACACAGCTCTGTGCAGCCCCAGGGGGGTTCACTGAGCCTCTGGGGGAGAAGATGCATCTGAATGTCAAATGTCTGGAGACCAGAGATACCACGTCTGCACTTCTGTGCTCTTCCTCCAGCTTCAGGAGCAAACAACCATTAAGGCCCTTCCCAAAGGGCGAGGAAACTCTTGGGCCCTGGGCTGAGTCAGGGAAGAATTGACTACTCTGTGCATTTGTGTATGTTTGAAAATTAGGGATGATTGGGAAAGAAATTAGGGATAATGCCTGGGTTTTCATAGAGTCTGATGTTCTATACATTAGTTAATAGGAATCATCTGTATTTGGGTGTTTAGGTAAGAGCTGAAATATTCAGTGAATTGGAAGGTGCTGTGTGTGATCATCTGGGACCAGAAGAAATTTTTACATCAAATCATAGAAGATTAGTTCTGAAACATCCATGTTGAATGTTCCAGATCAACTTCCTGTTCTTCAAGTGCTACAAAATGGATTCCGTGAGGACTTGCGCCATCACTTTTCCACAGACGAAGGTGAAGCTGACCGGGCTGTAGTTCCCTGGATTCTCCTTCATCACTTTTTTAAAAGCTGGGCACTACATTTGTCTTTTTCTAATCATCCGCATCCTCCCCCGATTACCACAAGTTATCACAGATAATGACCAATGGCTCTGGAATCACCTCAGCCCATTCCATCGGCTCCCTTGAGTGAATTTCCTCCAGCCCCCTGCACTTGTGCATGGCTACTGATTCTAAATACCCCTTAATCTGTTCTCGGCTGCTCATCTCCACCCCATATTGTGCTGCCCAGAGCAGGAGTCTGGAAATTGACCCTGACTTCACAGACAGAGGCAGACAAATGCATCGAGTCCTTCAGCTTTTCCCACATCATCTGCATGGCTGAGTCATCCCTCGTCGTCTGTGCAAGATTCCACCCCTTGTCAGCTTCCTCTTGGTGCCCAAGGTTGTCACTTAAACATAGTGTCTACTTTTTTTCTGTCCATCAGGATGGCTTGTTTCTGTGCCCCAAATAAGGCTTCTTTAAAATACAGCCAGCTCTCCTGAACACCTTCCCCTTTCCCCCTGTAATACCTTCTCCAAAAAGTGCATCATCTCGCTCCTCCTGCTGCTCTAGTGGTCTACAGCCCATGACCACTACGACATCAGCCTTGTTTTCCTTGCCTCTAGTCTTAACCCAAAGACTCTCAACAGGCTGTTCTGTTGTGACGTGTGCTCACTTCAGAAATGGTGGGACCTCAGGAAAGCCCCATGTCAACCGACACCAACACGTCCTGTCTGTGAACGGCTGCATCTGGGTAGCTGTTCCAGGTTTCCTGTCACTGCCTCCCTCAAGCTCCTAAGGCTGGACGCGCCTCAGGTGGCCATGCTGGCATCCTGCACACTGGGCCCACATGCTTTCGAGTCGCCGCAACATTCTGGCCCTGCCGCAGACTCTGGGTTTTAAGGGGGCAGAGGGGACTGTGTGGTGAGTGGTCTGGCTGAGGGGGGGGGAAGGTCAGAGGCCTGTGTGCTTTGAGGTATCTACATTTTGGGGAGTCTCTGTGCTGGGGGAGAGAGCCCTGTGAGTTCTGAGAGATGAGGGGGTCAGTTTGGGCAGGGGCGGGCAGAGAACTGTATGTGTTGAGGGGTGTCAGGGTACCACACGGAGTGTTCCAATGCCTGTGTGCTGTGGGCAGAGCACCTTTTTTGGCCATTAGTGTTTGTGATGAATCGTGGGGGATAGAGACCTGAATGGTTGAGGCCTATAGGGGGTGGGGTGGGCCAGTGTGAGTGTGGAGGGGAGGGAAAACAATGAAGGTGTGCAGGGATTGGGGGGCCATTGTTTGTGGCTGGCTTGTGGGGGTGTGTGGGGAGGGTGGGCACAGGACTCTGTGCTTTGAGGCCTGCAGGCCTGTGGTTCTGCCCTGTGGGTTGCTCTGTAGCCCAGACGACCCACCAGGCCTGACTCCCCCTCCGCGTGCTGAGACTGCTCAGGCGGCCAGAGGAGCCATTGGGCCTTTGTGCGCCCGGAGTAGCATTCGCGGGGCTGGAGGCGAGTGACAGATGCTGAGGGCGTGTGGGGGTGGAAATTAGAGCATCCCTGAGCCTGTTCCCAGGCACAGAGAATTCAGCCAGATGAAATTAAACTGCTCTACGGCAAGTAGAGACCCGGGCCCTGCTTTCTCCCTCACAAACCCCACGGGAGTCAGCCCACAACAACGCCGCTTGCTGGCCAGCCTGGCCCTGATGCCCGCATCGCTCGCCAGGACGTGGCTGCATAGAAACAGGCCCCCCCCCCCCGGCCCATCCTCCATTGAGTGACGCGCTTGGAGTGAGGTCAGGGATGACTTCAGTCCCATGGAGCCACCAGCCGGAACTTTGTCAAGCTGGGTCCTGAAATCTTCTAAGTGTTTGGCTCAGGTGCCGGGGCCTGATGCTCCAGGCTGCAGCAGACGTTGGCTCCCTTGTCCCCGTGCGTTGCTGCTTCCGACCCCTCTGCAGCCTGCCTGGGTCAGTCAGTACTCCAGTTACCCCCTCCCCCGGCTCCCCGCTGTGTCCCTGCCTCTGCAGTCAGGCACCATAGCCTGTATGGCTCTGACACGTCCCACAAATCCTTGCACCAGCTGCAGCCGGTGCCTCCAATGAGGCATTGTTCCAGCCAGTGCAAAGGATTCTGGGGCATTTCCAAGGCCTGAAGGCCCCAATTTTGCTCATCTCAAACTGGGGCTGGAGGGCAGCTCGTAAAACCTGGCTCTGGCCTGGAGTGTGTGAGTGACCCACGGCAGCCCCTGGAATGTGTATCTCATTGGTGCAGGTGCAGCCCCCCGAGATGTAACATGGCAGGAAGTGATGTCACTGCATCAACCAGTATGGCAGGGCCCAACCCCCCCCGCGGGGCTCTCCCACATCAGCCAATCAGAGGGGGGGAAGCAGGGGCTGAGGTTGCCCCTGCAGCTCCCCCTGCTGCTCCAGATTTGGGTTTAGGCATCACGCTCCCTAGCACTCAGGGGCATCTGTTACTAAGCATCCACCCTCGTGCCATTTGCATCTCGCTGCTGCTCTCTGCTGTCCTCGGTCAGGCGTTCCCGATGGGTTCCTGGCAGCTCTCCTGCTCCAGCCCTGATACACGTCTGGCTCCAAGCTTAGCTCTCCGATCTCCCTGCTAACCTTGCGCATGGGGTTAACAGAGAGACTCCGGGAGAGCCCCCCGAGACCACAGAACCACATGAGGATTGAAAGCACCAGACCAGATGTGTCGACCATCAAGCTCAGTAACAGTTGTCGGTGAACAGACTTGCCGCTGAGCCACTATGCATACGTACCCATGACAATGGACTAGCTCAGTCACTGCTATGGATGTCCGCACCGCCCCCCCGGCCAGAAAAAGACACATTTTGCAGTTCTTTGCAGCACACTTTTATACACAGGTACAAACAAGTGACACAGCATTCCCGACCACGCTCTGATGTTCCCGAGATCCACCCATTCTCTTGTCCATGGGGGTACAATCACTATCGAACATGGTGTCCATTTAGACCCCGTCCTGAACCTGTGGGGGGTGTTGGTTCTTCACCAGGTGTTCTGTTACGAGCCCTCTGCAATGTGCTCACAGCCTGGGCCTAGAGCCTCCTCAGCCTGACTGTTTCTGCAACATCTGCCCCATTCCTGCCAAATTCTGTCAGTCTCACCCCTCGTGCCCATTCATGCTGGGCAGCGCACATGGCCCTGTTGGCGTGACACTAGCATGCACAGTACCTGGTGCTGCGTGTCCGGAGCCATTGGCATTTGGTTCTCACAGCTCAGCTCCAGCCCCTGGGCAATGGATGCCCGGGAGTTTCAGGAAAGACACCATGTATGTGTGTAAATAGCTGGCTAATAGAAGAGGGGCCACTTATCTCTCTCCCTAGGGGCTACTGTAGCCACTTCGGTCTTTACCCAGCATCCCACCTTCCCTGATAATGATGGACTCAGCTTCTTCCTTTCTTTTCCTTTCCTTTCCTTCCTTCCTTCCTTCCTTCCTTCCTTCCTTCCTTCCTTCCTTCCTTCCTTCCTTCCTTCCTTCCTTTTGAACTTCTACTTTAAAAAGAGGATCCTTTGCCCTACCCACAACAAGCTCTAGGATGCACAATCTCTCCTGCCTGCCTCACCACCCTGCTCCCAACCCCATGGCTTCCCTTGGTGCTTCTGATTGGTCTGTTGGCCCCATGCTGTGTCCTCCCTTCACTGAATGAAGGCTCCTTGGCAGGAGTCAGCAGTTCCTGTCCCAGCCCCAGAGCAGAACGAACCCAGCTGGTGGTGGAGATAAACCTGAGAATCATGGGTGGCTGGATGCAGAGAGTAACAGGAAAGAGACAAAGAGACAGAGTAGAGGTGGGTCTTTGGGAAGAGCTGGAGAACGGGGAGAAGCCTTGAGAGAAGAGGGGGAAGGTGGTGGGGACTCAGGAGTCCAGTTACCAGGTGAGAATGCTGCCAATTGGTAAATTGTTCCCCCAGCTTGTCCCAGTGACATGGCACAGGGAAGGTTTAATGTCCTTTGGCCTGCCTTCTAGGCAACTCGGAAAAGAGGCCCAGAACTGCATCACTAGCCAGTCCTGCACAGAGCTCAGCGTGAAAGCCAAAGCACCAGGAGAAAACTTTTAATTACTTCTGTGAGTAAAGTGCCGAACCAAGCTGTCTCGTATCTGCTTGGTTCTCAACCCGTAGATGATGGGGTTGAGCATGGGGGGCACCAGGAGGTACACGTTGGCCATGAGAATGTGGACCTGGATGGGCATATTGTGGCCAAAGCGCTGTGTGAGGAAGGAGAAGAGACCTGGGATGTGAAAGGTTAAAATAACACAGAGGTGGGCACTGCAGGTCCCAAAAGTCTTGAGCCGGGCGTCCTTGGTGGGGAGGTGGAAGATGGCCCTGAGGATCTGGGTGTAGGATAGACCAATAAGAAACACATCCAGACCAGTCACAAACAATGCCAAAAAGAGGCCGTAGTAGCTACCAACATGGATGTCGACACAGGCCAGGCTCACCACAGACATGTACTCACAGTGCGTGTGGGGGATGATGTTTGTTCTGCAATACGGCCACTGATTCGCCAGGAGGGGATAGGGCAGTGTGAGTATGATGCCACGCAACACCACGGCCAGGCCAATCTTGGTTACCATGGAGTTTGTCAGGATGGTGAAATGTCTCAGGGGATCGCAGATGGCCACGTAGCGATCAAACGCCATGGCCACCCATATCCCCGACTCCATCACTGACAGAGAGTGAACGAAGTACATCTGGGTGAGGCAGGCACTGAAACCGATCTCCCTGGAATTGAACCAGAAGATGCTCAGTGTTTTGGGCAGGATGGACGTAGACAGGACCAGGTCGGTGACGGCCAGCATGCAGAGGAAATAGTACATGGGCTCTTGGAGGCTCGGCTCCGTCTTCACAATGAAGAGGATAATGAAGTTCCCCATGATGGCGATGGCATAGACAGTGCAGAAGAGGATGGAGATCCAGACATGGGAGGCCTCTAGGCCAGGGATTCCGAGCAAGATGAAGGTGGAGGGGTTGGTGAAGTTGGTTGTGTTGGAATCAGACATGGGGTAGGGGAGAGGGTGTCCACCTCTGAATCTTAATATGAGACGCCACCTGCGCTACCGGAGGCTGTTCTGATGGGTGGAGCTGATGATCATTCCTTACACACCTTGAAAAATAACAATGTAAATAGTTAGAGAAACAAATGATAAACAACCGACCCTCCTCCTGCCAATCCCAATCCTAGAGGGCTCCATGAGTCAGTGTTCCCAACATCTTCCCAGTGAGAAAGCTCAACAGGCACCAGCAGGAAAGAGGCATGTGGATCCTGCCTGGCCTTCACTGTCCCATCATGCACTGAAAGCCAAACCAGCCCATTGGCGCTGTCGGGAATTCCCCCTTCGTCCGGCTGCTCCACAGCTGAGAGCTGAACAAACCCAAACCTTTGTCTGGGGCAGTTTGGTTTGAAGAAGAGACAAAGTTCATGCAAGAGAAGAACAAATTAAGGCGTCGACCCGGCTGCAGTCCAATAGGCACCCAGAGAAATGTTCATAAGTGTTTCAAAATAGCTACTCCCTTCAAGCTGAGGAAAATTGTCAGCAAACCTAATTGGGTGGAAATATTTCGACAGAAACCTCAGAAGGACCATTGGACGTGATTTTAGGTGACTCTATTATGTAGCTACAAATCCAAAGTCACATGGAAAAGAGAGTAGATAACTTTGGACAAAACCTTGTGTGGTAATGTGAGGGTAGCAATCGGGGCAAGGGAGGAGAAAGGAACATGTAAAAATGGCCAAGGGAAAATAGACAGCAGTCACAGCACATAATGTGTATTGAGAAGTTTTAAAAATTGATAAAGAATATTTACAGCAGCATGGAAAACCCATGCGTGGCAGGGGAGTAGATAAAAAGGAAGGTAATTCAGGATGTGAAGAACAAAGGAAATAATGGAAGAGGATTAGCCCAGTTACTAGAGGGAGAGAGGGAAACTGAGTGTTAAAAATGTAGATGTGCTCAAGAAATATTTTTTCTTCTGCATTGGGAAACAATCCGTATGAGACACACAGATCATGGGAGGGAATGAGATACTGCCCAGCCCATTAGCCGTCAAGGAGGGGGTTAAACAGCATCGACAATAGAACCTTAGAGGCAGGAACACACTACTTAGGAACTCACAGATTTCATTTGGAGCCAGAAGTGTGCAATCCGGCAGCAGAAGAGCAGAACCAAAAAAAAAAAAAACCAAACAAAACCAACGTGCAGGACTGTGTTAATTTTGATGGTGATTGCATGACTAACATAGTGAATGCTAGAGGAAAAGGGGTAGGTTTAAATGCTAAAATAATAGAAGAACAAGTTAAAAATGACTTAGATACATTAAATCTCTTCAAGTCCCCAGAGTCTGATGGAATGCACCCTAGAATACGCAAGGAGCTGATAGAGGAGGTATCTGATGCTTTAGCTATCATACAGTTGTGAAAGTCAGGAGAGATTCCAGAAGACTGGGAAAGGGCCAATCTAGTGCCCATCTATAAAAAGGGAAAGAAGAACAACCCAGGAAACTACAGACCAGTTAGTTTAACTTTTGTGCCAGGAAAGTAAATGGAGAAAGTAATTAAGGGATTTATCTGCAACCACCTGGAAAATAAGAAGGTGATAGGTAACAGCCAGCATGCATTTGTACAGAACAAATCACGTCAAACCAATCTGATAGCTTGGGGGATAAGGGGAAGTGTAAGTGTGTGTATATCTAGATTTTGAAAAGCATTTGCTATGGTCTCACATTGACTTCTTATCAATAAACTAGGGAAATAAACCTAGATGGGTCTATCAATGTGGGTGCATAACTGGCTGGGTAACTATTCTCAGAGAGCAAAAGGGCATAACGAGTGGGGTTCCGCAGGGGTCTGTTCTGGGACTGGCTCTGTTCAATATCTTCATCAACGATTTAGATAATGGCATAGAGAGGACGCTTATTATGTTTGCAGATGATACCAAGCTGGGAGGGGCAGCGAGTCCTTTGGAGGATAGAGTCATAATTCAAACTGATCTGGAGAAATGGTCTGAGGTAAATAGGATGAAGTTTAATAAAGACAAATGCAAAGTGCTCCCCTTAGGAAGGAACGATCCGTTTCATACACACAGAATGGGAAGCGACTGTCTGGGAAGGAGTACGGCAGAAAGTGTTCTAGGGGTCATAGTGGACCACAAGCTGAATATGAGTCAGCCGTGTGATGCTGTTGCAAAGAAAGCAAACATGATTCTGGGCTGCATTAACAGGTGTGTTGTGAGCAAGACACGAGAAGTCATTCTTCCGCTCTGCTCTGGGCTGATCAGGCCTCAGTTGGAGTATTGTGTCCAGTTCTGGGCACCACATTTCAAGAAAGATGTGGAGAAATTGGAGAAGGTCCAAAGAAGATATGCTGGAGGGCAGGGACAGGGTCCATAGTGACCTGGACAGATTAGAGGATTGGGCCACAAGAAATCTGATGAGGTTCAACAAGAACAAGTGTAGAGTCCTGCACTAGGGACGGAAGAATCCCAGGCATTGTTACAGGCTGGGGACCGACTGGCTGAGTAGCAGTTCAGCAGAAAAGGACCTGGGGATTATAGTGGATGAGACGCTGGATATGAATGAACAGTGGGCCCTGGTAGCCAAGTGGGCTAATGGTGTATTAGGGGGCATTAGAAGGAGCATTGCCAGCAGATGCAGGGAAGAGTTTACTCCCCTTTATTTGGCTCTGGTGAGGCCACATCTGGAGTATTGTGTCCAGTTTGGGGCCCCCCACTATAGAAAGGACGTGGACACATTGGAGAGGGTCTAGCGGAGGGCAACTAAAATGATTCGGGGGCTGGAGCACATGACCGATGAGGAGAAGCTGAGCAATTTGGGGTTTGTTTAGTCTGCAGAAGTGAAGAGTGAGGGGGGATTTGAGAGCAGCCTTCAACTTCCTGAAGGGAGGTTTCAAAGAGGATGGAGAGAGGCTGTTCTCAGAGGTGACAGATGCAGAACAAGGAGCAATGGGCTCAAGTTGCAGTGGGCGAGGTCTAGGTTGGAGATTAGGAAAAACTATTTCCCTAGGAGGGTGGGGAAGCTCTGGGATGGGTTCCCTGGGGAAGGGGTGGAATCTCCATCCCTAGAGGTGTTTAAGTCCCGGCTTGACAAAGCCCTGGCTGGGTTGATTGAGTTGGGATTGGTCCTGCCTAGGGCAGGGGCTGGACTTGATGACTCCTGAGTTCTCTTCCAGCTCTATGAGTCTATGATTCTAAGAGTACCAAAAATATTAAAAGGTCAGAAAACCTGACCTGAGAGGGAAGACTGAAAGAATTGGGCTTGTTTAATTTGGAAACTAAAGAGGAGGAAATGTGTTCTCCCTTGCCCCAGAGCACAGGAGATGAGTCCATGGTCCACACAGAAGCATGGCAGATTTAGATAAAATCTCAGAAACAAAACCAAACAAAAAACACCAAACACACACTAACAAAGAAAGAAAACCTTCCTAGCTGCAAGAACAGGAGGACAATGGGACACTCACCTACGCTCATTGTGGAAGCTACTTCACTGGAGGGTTTTCCAAAGGAGGCTGGATCTCTATCAGTTTTGGACGATTTACACACAACAAAATCTGCATCTTGGCAGGGGATCAGACTTAACAAACCCGGTGGTCTCTGCTAGCCCAGTGGCTCCATGATTCTACAATGTAAAGTCTTACTGGAGACCAGGTCTTACAGGAGTACCCTAGTACAATTTGCCCTGGTGAAATCAAATGGCCTGGTTTCTACAAGACATGAGGATGGATGATCTAATGGTCCCTTCTGACCTTCAACTCTGTGAATGATGCAGAAAGGAATTAGATCAGGCATTGCTATTTATTGAGGGACCATTCCAGCGTATGGAAAGTTTGACCGTATAACACAGATCAATGCAATCTGTTTATATAATTAGTATTTATCCGTGGAACTCCTCACCACCGACATTCCTGGAGGGAAGTGCTTAGCTCAGCGGGATTCACAAATGAACAATTGATTTCCAGAGTGCGATACATTTGCCCAGTTGTACGGCTTTGATTGGAAATTTCCCACACTGGGTGTCTGCTTCCAGCTCAATTGATTTTTCATTTCAAGTTCAGCCAACTTCTGGCATCAAGCTGGGAGAAAAGAGGTCCTGCCTGTGTAGAACAATATTTATAATTCTTCCAGAGGGGAGGCCTAACACTCCCATGCCTTCTTGCAGATTATAGAAGCACAAAATGATGGAACACTAACACAGGAAGGGACATCGAGAGTCATCAAGTCTGGTCCCCTGGCCTCATGTTAGGGCCAAGCAGCATCTTAAACTTTTTAAGACTGAGGAACACCAAACAATATTTTTTTTAGGAGGAACACCATTTTTTGTTGAGAAAAAAACATAGTCAGGGGGAAAGTTATTGAGCACAAAAAAAAAAGGTCACCTGCCCCTTTAAGGATGGCCAGTTTGAACTCCGTTGTTCTCCGTGGCACACCTCTGACTGCCTTGCAGCACACCGGTGTGCCACGGAACACAGTTTAAGAAACACTGATCTAGGCCATCCCTGACAAGTGTCTGTCTAACCTGCTCTTAAATATCTCCAGGGATGGAGATAAAAGCTAATTACCAGCCCTTTCGTTAACAGCCAGAGCGCTGTAATTCAGAGCAGGAGGTGACAGTGTCTGTGCACAACACACAGTTGGCTCCTGAGATCTTTCCTCAGTTCTTATTCCACGAGTTTTGCCTCCACAGGACCTGATCAAACGACAGGACCAGGCCTTGGAAAGTGGCCTCGTATCGCTCATCTACTCACCGCTCTCAGCCTCACGGATCTGCCGTGCCACTGACATGGCCCAGCGAGGTCCCGAGCTGGGATGCGGGCAGGGTAGGGGCACAGAGAAGAAGAAAATTTTGGCCAGTGTACGGGAATGAACTCGTATTCCGTGGCCAGGGCCCCGAGATATTCGGTGACTCTGCAGAGCAGAGAGAATCACAGACTGACCCTCTCCCCCACCATCCCCACATTGCGCCCTGTCTGTGGGGCAGTGGAGTTCTG